TTGTTGTTTTGCTGTTGTTTGTGCAAGTTGTTGTTGTTGCTGTTTTGCTGCTGTTGTTGTTCTGCTGTTTGTTGTTGTGTTTCTGACCCGCTGTTTTGTGCGAACCCTTCAGAGCGAGCGTTTGGTCAACATCGGCCCAGCGTGGACACGTTTGAGAGAACCTGGAGGCGGCGTAGCATGGAGCTCGCCTCGGCCGTGTCACACCGACCTGGCTGCCGTCTACAGTCAAGGAGAGCGACGGGTGGGACCACACACACACCACACCACGAACACACTCGACACGTCACCACTCACACAGCACTCCACTCACCCACTCCACTCCACTCACACACACACACTCTCCACACCACACACACACATCTCTCGTCACCAACACACACACCACACACTCCTCCCTCACACATAACACAACACCACTCTCTCACACACCCACACACACACACACACACCTCTCACACACACACCACACTCTCTCTCACACACACACACACACACACTCTTCTCAACTGACTAGGCTTCACATTCAATCAACGACGCATCACATCATTGCTATACTACAAACATGACTTGGCTACTCATCTCGCACCACATAACACCAAGCAACATTCTAATGCGCTCTCCCAACAACAGACCACCCTACACATTACTTTCCAATCACATCTACACAGAAGTCCGCACTGGCCGACGGAAAGAACAGCAATTCTCTTCACACCCACACACAACACCCCACCACACACCACAACACATCACTCATACAATGGTGTCGTTGGTCACTGTCTCCGGTTCTTATGGTAGCAAACCCCTATTGCAATTGTAATCATTCTCCTTATCATTCGTCCTCGAGTGCCCCTTAAATGCGCCGAATAACACTCATCGTTACCGTACTCACCCCTTATTGAAGCATGCCTGCATGTTGGGCACCTGGCACATACACGCGTTGTATGAGGCGGACCCGCGTGCTCTACGAGACCACGATGCGCCGGCAGAGCGCGGAAGACGAGACAGATTGATGAGATTTCTGATTAAATGTCTCTCGCTCGCCTCGGCGTCTCTCGCCCCATCCAGGCCCTAAGCTGAGAGAGAGCACTGGTGTGTCTGTGGTCTATTCTCTAAGATATGTTGCGCATATACAGTGTATCGCCCTTCACATAGAATTGGACACTCTGTGTTGCATTTGGAATGAGAGGTACATACAACTCTGTAATTCCTGATGCAACTGCTCTGTTCTTACAGACGAAGCATGTTGGCTAGGGGTAACAGATAGCGTCTCTGCTGTGAGAGAGAGCCAAAGGCGTAGAATGCCTACGTGTCTGTTCTTCTTGGTCTAGTTCTGTATATGATTATCTTCTCTTGGAGGAACCTCTCTCTGTAGATCACATGCACTCTCACAAGGGTACCCAAGGCCGTGTATCCAACGGGTACAACAACCACACGACGACCACCATTCCACAGGTTACCTCACTATTAGGCATGCTAGAACACTGGATAGCAACCACACCATAGGTGATGTGCTATAGCTATCTACAGGGCATCGACCAGGGGCTCTCCCCTACTTGGCAAGAGATCTATACCAGTTTTAATGCTGTCGGGTGAGTTCATTCTTTACACGTTCATGTTTGTCCACAACTTTTATCTAAATGATATTTTAAAAAATTGTATTCCATTAAAATAATTGACTTCAGCTTTAATCAGGGAACTTGTTTACTTTGCAAATTTAAGACTCAAAAGAAGTATAATTTAATCACATTAATATATGTTCATGGCAGCTGGTGGCGAACCAACTGAATACCACTCAGCAGTCTGTGTATAATTCATTATTTTCATCATAGAGTCCCAAATCTGAGAATTAAAGAACAATCTGTTATTTTGGTATTAATTTATGAATCTGACATGGAACACAAATAACAGTTTATTTGCTTGAAGAACAAGAACAGTTAATGTATCTTTATTTCAACAGAAACTCCCAAAGTGCAAACAAAGATAAAAGAAACCCAATAAAACCACCTGAATGAAAGGTTGGATAGAGGATCAGAGACTATAAACTCTGTATGCAGTGTGATGATAAACATAAACATGTGATGTGTATTGTTTGTTTTTAACTTTCTCTCGTCATCTAGTGTTAAAAACTCAAACATAAATCACAATAATTCCTATCATGGAACCAGCAGCTGGAGTACTGTGATCGTACCGTCGCTGCTCTGATGTTGTAACTGAACTTTACTGAGCGTTCTGTCTGTCTGTCGCCGTATCCCAGGGCGCCGTGCTGTCTGGACCTCCAGGGACGGGGAAGACTCTGCTGGCTAAAGCCACAGCCGGAGAGGCCAACGTCCCCTTCATCACCGTCAACGGCTCCGAGTTCCTGGAGATGTTTGTGGGCGTCGGTCCGGCCAGGGTGAGTAACAGAAACCAGAACGTTGATCCTGGAAACTCATTAAAACGACCAAAATATCCTGAAATAATCGATTCTTTAGATTTTATCCTGTAAGTACGATGACGTGTTTTCAGTATAAAAACTGACCGAGTCCTCTCCTGCACAGGTGAGGGACATGTTTTCCATGGCGAGGAAGAACGCCCCCTGCATCCTCTTCATCGATGAGATCGACGCTGTGGGGAGGAAGAGGGGCGGAGGGAACTTTGGCGGTCAGAGCGAGCAGGAGAACACACTGAACCAGCTGCTGGTGGAGATGGACGGTGAGCTGCAGTCTGGTCCTTCAGGGGTTTGTTAGTTTTGAGGTTTTAGATTTTAGCTGTTTTTTTTGGTGTCCCGCAGGTTTTAACACATCCACTAACGTGGTGGTCTTGGCTGGAACCAACAGACCCGACATCCTGGATCCAGCACTGATGAGACCGGGACGCTTCGACAGACAGATCTACATAGGTAGGAGTCCAACACCGAGAGCTGGTTGGTGCTTCTGGTCAAAGAGACATTTCACTGTTACTGGCCACCAGACACCAGAACCGTCTCTTAGTGTTTCCAACAATCACCAACTCTGGTTTGGTGGAAATAAAACTTTAATTCACAGAGTTAGATGATAAAAACATAATAAATGAATGTTTTAAATCTCATAAAACCTTCTAAAACATCAGAAAACGCCCCTGTGACGTCTTCATATTGCTTCTTTTGGTTGATTTGATAAACTGTAATTTAGGGCAAAGAGAGAAGCTGGAAACATTATTTCCTTTAAAATCAGGTAATGTGAATAATAATAATAAACACCAAGACACAAATGCAGATTTATTTACCCCAAAATAACAATCGTATCATTAACTGAGCTCCCCTGGTTCCATCACGTCTCCTCTCAGGTCCTCCAGACATCAAGGGCAGGGCGTCCATCTTTAAAGTCCACCTGCGACCCATCAAACTGGACCCCAACATGGACAAAGACGTTCTCGCCAGGAAGATGGCGGCTGCCACTCCGGGATTCACCGGTACGTTAACGCCTCAGCCCGGTGTCATTAACCAGTTAGAGACATGTAGAGGAGTTAAAATACAACAATGGATGAATATCGTTAAGTAACTGATAAAGTTTATTGATCCGGTAACACGTTCTAGTAAACAGATTCTTTATTTGTTTAAATATGTTGTTATATTGTAAATATTGTTAAATATATTTTCATTATCAAATTATAGAATCCTTTTGATTCATTGTGATTTAAACGTCCTCAGGAGCCGACATCGCTAACGTCTGCAACGAGGCGGCGCTGATCGCTGCCAGACACCTGAACCCGTCCGTCAACGCCAAACACTTCGAACAGGCCATCGACCGCGTCATCGGAGGTCAGTGTCCCCGTTTTCTGTCGTCGCAGTTCCTCAACAGCGACCGACAGACGCCAACCTTTGTGCTTCCTGTGTCGTTCGTTCAGGTCTGGAGAAGAAGACTCAGGTGCTGCAGCCCACGGAGAAGAAGACCGTGGCGTATCACGAGGCCGGTCACGCCATCGTGGGCTGGTTCCTGGAGCACGCCGACCCGCTGCTGAAGGTACAGCTCACATCTGTTACTCCTCTCACACACACACACACACACACACACGTCTGATGCCTTCAGGGTCCAGTTCTGCTCTCGTAGTGACGACGTTAGAAACTTTTAATCAGCTAACGGGTGAGAGATGTTATTTCCTGTCAAAGTCTGAACAGTTGATTTACTCTGAGGCTGCAGCTGATCGCCACGAATGTTTTTATTGACCAATCAGAAGTTCAGAATTGGCTTTTTTTTGGGACACATTCAGTATTTTTCTTCTCCCTGATGTTTGGTTCTGTTAGTTCTGTGGTTGTTTAAACTTTTCTAACACAGGACGAGGCTGTGGATCAGAGACTGAAGCTCTCTGGATAAAGTTTGTGTTCAGAGTTTAGATCTTAAATAATCGGAACCTCGTGTGTCCAGGTGTCGATCATCCCGCGGGGGAAGGGTCTGGGTTACGCTCAGTACCTGCCCAGAGAGCAGTACCTGTACAGCAGAGAGCAGCTGTTCGACAGGATGTGCATGATGCTGGGGGGCCGCGTGGCCGAGCAGACCTTCTTCGGCAGGATCACCACGGGAGCTCAGGACGACCTGAAGAAGGTCACGCAATCCGCCTACGCTCAGGTACACGGCACCCGCCTGCTGGTCCTCTGAGTGTTGATGTAGTAGAAGATCTGCTGTGACGCCTGGTTCTCCTCCCTCCCCTCTCCTCCTCCAGGTGGTGCAGTTCGGGATGAGCGAGAAGGTGGGGCAGGTGTCGTTCGACCTGCCCCGGCAGGGGGAGATGGTCATGGAGAAGCCGTACAGCGAAGCCACGGCCGAGCTGATCGACCAGGAGGTCCGAGAGCTGGTGGACCGGGCGTACCAGAGGACCATGCAGCTGATCCAGGAGAAGAAGGAGGTGGTGGAGCTGGTGAGACTCTGAGACATCCGTTAGAGGGTCAGGTCTCTCCTGGTCCTGGTCCTGGTCCTGGGTTGCGTTACAGTTTATTAGGAGATGTTATCGTATGTTCACTTCGTTATGTAACAGCTCGGGTTTCTTCCTCAGGTGGGGAAGCGTCTCCTGGAGAGGGAGGTCCTGGACAAGGCGGACATGTTGGAGCTGCTGGGCCCGCGGCCGTTCGCGGAGAAGTCGACGTACGAGGAGTTTGTGGAGGGGACGGGGAGCTTCGAGGAGGATACGAGCCTCCCGAAGGGCCTCCGGGACTGGAACCAGGAGAGAGGAGGAGGGGAGGCCGAGGAGGCCAAGGAGGCGACCCCGCCTCAGGACAGACAGCAGGCCATGTAGAGGGCGAAGACTCAGATAAGACACCGTGCAGACGCAATGCGGCCCGGGAGGTGTTAGATTGTTTTATAAATTATTTCCACAGATCAGTATTTCACGTTTTCAGTTTCCCTCAAATTCCCAGTTGAAGGATCCGACTTTAATTCTGGGCTGAGATAAAACTCACTGGACGCACTAAAGACGTAATTTAACAGCAGGAATGAATTCGATCTGTGGAACTCGCTCGGACAGGAAGACGCTCCCAGCGCCTTAAACAGGAAAACAACAACAAACAGACTGTTTTTAATATTCCTGAAGTGTAAATGTGTGAACACACTAGTACACAGTATTTATTCCATTAAAGGGGAAGTTTTTTTCTCCCCGACTGATTTAAATTTAACTTTTGCTGGTTGAAATATTTGGAGAACTGACGGTGAAGTTGTTTGTTTCCTGTTGTTGGTTTTTATTTTGTAGGGTCAAACAAACACAGCGACTGTTTTCTACAAATGCACTGATGCTGTAAACAGATAATTGTGGACATTTTGTGTGATTGTGTATGTGTGTGTAATTTGCTGTGTATTTTTCAACCTGGATCGTACGACAGGGATTCGAGCTGTAGGCCGATATCTCAGCGTTTGGGTCACTTCTGTGAAGAAAAGTAATTAAATTGTTTTAAATAAAACAAACGTCAGGGAGAAGAAAATGCCAAATTTGTCAAAAAAAGAGCCTATTGACTCTGTATGATGGTTAAAAATGATAAAAATACAGACAGAATTGGATTAAAAGTTCCCTAAACTGGAAATTATCTGCTCAAAATTCATCCAGATCTCATAAAATGTCCCGTTTGGCTGCAGACTGAAACAGAAAATAAGCTCCAGGTTGAAAAATACCAAAAAGTACTAATTAAAGGAAAAATCCCCCTCAAACATTTCAACACAAACTCAGTTGTGACTTCTAGTTTCAGTTTTCTTCAGTTTTCATCCCCAGCAGCAACGTGACGTTCTTTGTTTTATCAGCTCCCCTGAAGAGAGTAAAACTAATTAAATTAATCTTATTAACGAGTTATAAACACAGACGTACTGATGGTAAAAGAGTCCAGCTCCTAAAATAATTAACGTGTCTTGAGATTAAAGTTTTAATTAATTCATTTTAAACACTTTCTTTAGATCTCGTCTGGAGCAGGATGAGGGTTAATATTTAATGTTAAAACTGTGGAAATCAGTAAAAGTATTCGCTCGTTTGACTGATTCCAGGTCAGACTTTAACCCTTAAAGACACCATTAAAACTTTATATTAATATTAATTCCCTTATACGTACATATATCTACACATATTTCATAAAAGATATTTAGAATTGAAGCCAAAAAGAGTAAAAATAAAAGCTTTCCAATGTTTTACTGACAGCTGGACCATATAAAGCTTCTAATGTACATAAACTCAGAATGTTAGACTCTTGTGGAAACATTAATAACAACGTCATCAATAACCTATAATCACCTATCGGGGGATTTTTTCTTTTTAATGTCACATTATCGTGGTCGTCCAGCAGGGGGCATCCGACTGAAAGCTGCTGAATCTGAACTCCAGTTGTTTGTTTTTAATCTCAAAGTGCTTCGATCAATAAATAATACAATGGATGAGTGGACATTCTTCCTGAACACACCTTTAGGTCTCTCTGGGTCCTGATGGGGGGGTGATGAGTCTTCATTGGACGAGGAGGTTGTCATGGCAACTCTGTGCGGTATTAATATCAAACAGACGCCGAGACGAGTTCTTCCTGTCGTTCTGTTTCAGCGTCTCGATGGTTAAAGTGAGAAACTGAACAAAATACAAACGAACCGACATGAAGTGAAAAAAGTTACATTTTATTGTTTGTTTTTTTTTTTGTCAGTTTTTAACCAACCGGAACTAAACGTCAGACTTCAGGTCACGTTAAACTTCTGTTAAACAAACAAACAAACAAACAAACAAACAGATCAGTCGACCAATAGAAACTGTTGATATTTAAAGCTTCAGGTTCACTTCCTGTCCAGAGAAACCTGAACTGGGTCAGTGCGGCCAACAGATTTTAGTGTTTAAATTAGAAAACCAAACTCGAGCTGTTTCCCTGACTAACATTTATAAATATGGGAACAAATATCTCTTTTCAAATTATAAAAACTGAAAATTGGTCATTTTGTCAACATTTTCAAAACAAAACAACTGGCCTTTTTCTTATTTTCCATTTTTATTTTTAAAATAAAAGCAGAAAACTGGTCACTCCTATAATTTTCCAAACCAAAAAAATTGTTTTCTGTTTTTGTTTTCAAATTTTTTTTGTTCTCGTATTTATAAATATTCAGGAACTCGCTCGTAGTGCACCAACTCCACTGTGTAGACGTCACCTACCTGCCACTAGAGGTCAGTATGTATCCAGGTGGAAGTCTAGTCATCACTGCTGGTCCTTTAATATCTGTATTCCCTGTCGACCTTTGACCTCTTATTTTTTATTTTCCTACTTTTTTTTAAAATCATTCGAGTGTATAAAACTACTCGTACACAATATTTCTGTATCAAAAAAGCTACAAAGACGCTACATTCTTTGGGTGTAATGGCAACGTTTCTCCAGGAGCTGCGCTGTTTCACATCCGTCTGTCAGACTCGTGTTCGTCCGGCAGCTCGCGAGCTAATCCGAAGTTTCAGTTTATTTCAGGAAGTTTGTAAAAAATAAATCAAATAGCCCTTTAAAAGCTGCAGATTGAGCCGGCGCTCGTCTCAACAGCGAGAAACAAAACCCCAGACGTCCCTCTGGTGGGGAAAAAAACCCCATCCTTCGCTACCTGCTCGATTGTTTTTGTTTCTATGTTCCTGCCGCCGCCGTCAGAGCGTCCTGATTGGTCGGTGGGTTTCTTACGTCCAGCGGTGGAGCAGCGACGAAACGAGCAGAGCGGCTGAGAACAGAGAGAGTGACAGGGAGATGGCCGACGCCCCGCCGCACTCCTTAGCGTCTTCCTGTTGGAGAACCAGAACACATTTTAAATTAATTAATGATTATCAACTGACAGCCTATTAATTAAATTAACGTTTTAATTAATTGATTAAATTAATTTAATTAATAAAAGTTTTATCACATTTTACTGATTAACTTCTTAAAAATCTTGTTCCTATAGTTGGATGCGAGTACGGAGGACGACAGGTGTCACGGAAATAGTAATAAAGCATTAAATTAAATGTGCTGTAAAAAAAAAAAGCATTAATACATTTGTTTGTAAATTAATTTCTAATTCAATCTATTTGTTTATAGATGAAAGTAATTTATTATTTTATTGTAGGGCAACAAAAATAATAATCTACAAATAAAATATTAACACATCAATAAATAGATTAATGTATAAACGACATAAAACAGTTAATAAGTACATTGATTTACAAATCCAAAATCTATTTCAAAAATGCTTTTTAAATAAAAAAAATAAATAACTGGAAACTTTAAAGTGTCGAACTAAACAAACTCTTATGTAAATCTGATTGAGAGGATTAAATACAACAAACATTTTAGATTATTTCCAGGATATTTGGTCATTTTAATCAATTTCAAGTCTCGACATTTCCAGATTTTGATACACATTTTTTAATTGGCTGATAAAATTCACATTTTTGTAGTTTTTACACAGCTGAGGGTTATAAAGGCTGAGATGTAGTGAGTAAAGATGGATTTAATTTTCTACTCTGATCTGATTATTGTAACAACAAACAGTTTCTGCCTTCAAGTTCATCAAAAAGCTTCACAGAGACTTTGGCTTCATGTTCTATAAAACTCTATTCGAAATAAATTATTGTTATCTGCTGTAATTTAACTGTCTGTCTGTCTGTCTGTCTGTCTCACCTTTGGGTGGTAGGCATGGCAGGACTCCGGACGCCGCCGCACCTTCTGGGATTTCATCCTGTTGCACTTCACTGTGGCGTTATGTTCACTGGCGTTAAGGAAAACACAGCACTGACTGCAGGAGATAAATTAATGTGTTTAAAAACGTTCTGAGGAACATAAACCAGTTTAATATTATAACATATATATATTGAACAGCAGGGGGCGCTGCTGCTGCTGCTGTGTGAAGGATATATTTGATCTCTTTGGGCTCCAGCAGGATGGATCCGTACTGACGAGAGCAGTCGCAGTCAGCCTGAGTCACAACCAGAACCAGGTTACTGTCGGGAATCTGCTGAACCACAAACATCCTGAAACAGCACAGACGACAATAATCAATAATCAATACACAGCCAATAAACTGAAACCTGGTTCAGAGAGTTTGTGTCTCTGTGGTTCCTAAAGATTAATGTCAGTATATTGACAGAAAGAAACCACAACCAGCTCGCACACAGGTTGTTAAATCGAGTAATTTCTGGCTGGACCCTGGTGGACCGCTCACTGTCCAAAGTGACTAGAATTTAAATTCTGTTGAATTTTCCCTGTAAATCTTTCATGAATAAAGACAGTAAAAGTGATGCAGCAGAAGCTCGTGTTTGACCACTAGGTGGGGCTGTAGGTGTTTTTATTCTTAAGAGAGGTTCTCCTCAAACACAGAACTAAAGGGGGACAGTTCAGGGACTTTAGTTCCTCCAAATTTAAGACTTCTATTAAAGCTTTTAAATATTTTATGTCCTTACAGGCAACAAAAGTACAAAGGATATGAAGGACTATCAGTGTTGTATAGTTGTTAGACCCTGATCAATACAGATTTAAGAGACTGAAAACATCAAATTCATTAATACAAGCAAAGTTTAAGACCTGTGAAAATCTGATTCAACAGATTTTAAAGCCTACATTTTTAAGATTATTGGATTTTATAATAAATTGAGCTGGAAGAACTGGTTGACAACTTTAAATATATTTTCAAACATCTTAGAAAGTCTCAAATCTTACATTTTATTTAGTTTATATATCTTATTCTATAAATGTGTTATTCTGTGTGGCATTAAGGGACTGCAGCTTTCTTTTTGTTGTACAACCTTTTGTTGTTTTGTGATTAATTTCTTTGATTCAGACCTTCAGCTGTTTCCCTTCTGTAGCGCCATCCTGTGGTTCAATCACAATAAAACCACCAAAACAACAAACAATAGATCGATCTCTCTAAAAACCTAAAGGACCCTGATAACCCAGATGAAAACATAAGGTAACAAAAACACAAAGATCCTTATATTTAAGTGATTATAAACTATTACTAACTATTACAAACCGATTAATATTATATTTCTGACAGTAGATCCTCCTCGATCTAAGTCGCACATTTTTTAGAACTGATTTGACGTCTTTTTACTTCTTTATAACGTCTCACACGGTCCCAGTGAATCCCACAACAGAAAACTATATTTTTTAAGAAGAAATAAAGGAAATATCTTTTTAATTAAGTAATCTGTCTGATGTAATTCTTCTTTTTCCTTTAGGTTTTATTGGTATTGTTGTCAATTTATTATAATATTATTAACATTATTACTTTGATCTGCTGTATTTTGAGTGTTTTATGAACATTGAACACAATTTTAATCATTGAGATCATATTTAATAAAAGCAGACAAAGTTTAACACTGAAACTATGTGTGTGTGTGTGTGTGTGTACGTGTGAGTGTGAGAGTGTGAGAGAGAGTGTGTGTGTGTGTGTAAGAGTGTGAGAGTGTGTGTGTGTGTGTGCGTGTGTGTGTGTCGTACTTCTGGCAGCGTCCACACTTGATGAGGCTGTTTGCTTCTCTGATAGACGAGTCGTACATGAAGCCGGGATACGCCGTGTCGCAGGGCTGCAGAGCGTCCACCTTCTTCTGCTTATGAGCTGAGACACACACACACACACACACACACACACACACACACACATAAAAATATCACCTTCTACTAAGCTGCTGGACTCGTCTCTTTAT